GTTAACAGAGAAATCCATGCAAGCTGGGAAGAAGTCCTTAGGGAGAGCATCCCGGCCAGGGGAAAAGCTCTGTCCCGGACAAGGCTGTCACGGCCACTCTGCTGGGCTCCTGCCCCACTGCGAAGCGCCTCTGAAGGCAGCAGTGGGTCCTACACCTAAGCTCTTTTCCTCTCTTCTTTGCCTTCTAAACTTCAAAAAAGGCGAAAAATCAACGAGCCGGATCTGCTGACTGGCAGATCTGTGGCCCTGCCGGTGGACCGGGGCGACCTCCCGAAAGGCTTTGAAGGGGCTGGTGAATGGCGAATTGGCGTCTCAGCTTTTTGCACCTTCCCAAGGTGCTTCAGCCTCCACGTCACCTCTTCCAGGTGCGATTTTTTAAGAGCGTATCTAAAAGACCAACAGAAAGAGTCACAAAGGTGCCGCCGTCATCAAGGCCAACCTTTGAGGAGAGGAAGATAAGCGCAGTCCTGGGTTTTAGAGGCAGGATAGCACAGCGAGTGAGCTCAGAGGCTCATCTGGTCTCTGGCTGCCCCAAGGCAGGACCATTCCTGGCGGATCTCTCTCTAATCCGCACTTAAAGACCTCCAAAGACGGAGGGAGCCTCCACAACTCCCCAGGACATTTTTCGCCATGCTTTGCTATTCGCATCTTGGAAAGCTTTTCCTCCTGTCTGATCCGCATGTTTTTCACAGGGGCTTGAGAGCAGATCTTTCTGTTCCCGCAGCCTTCCCCATGTGTGAAGGTAGCTACTGCGCCCCTCTGAGGTCTCCTCTGATGTCCTCTGACTTCCCTCTACCTTGGCCAGCTTTCCCTAGCTCGTGGTGCACGTTAACCACAATCCAATTAACCTTCCTAATCCTGAACCAAGGTCTAGCGGGACAAGCTAAAGGCTTCTGGGTCTTTTGCTGCTTTTGTTTTCCAGGAGCGCGAAGCCGGTCCACGCGTGCCTTGCGTGCTTGCACGCTCCTTAGCTCCACCGCGCGTGCACCGCTCGGCGTGGAAACGGCCGCAAACCCGGAGCCCCAAAGTTTGCGCGTGGAGATAACTCCCGCAAATACGCGTGCCTGACGAAACCTGCCACCAAAGCCCTGCTGCTAACGTACCAAGTATGCCAGGCGCTGCTACGAAGCCAAGCGAGAAGGGCAGCTACGGGCAGCTTTCTTCCGAGAGGCCCCAAAAGCATTGGCGTCATCACGTTTTTAACGGGAGACTTAGCTGCAGCTAGAGGGTAACGCAAAAGCCGTTCAGCGCAGACTTAGCGCTCCGTAAGCGAGCACCGCCCAAAACCCCATTTGCACACGCTGGAGATTTCCCGGAGGACTCGCGACGCGCTTCTCCAAGACCCAGAAGGGAAAGGAGAAACGTGAGGCCAGGCCCTACCCTCCTCCCCTCGGCGAGCCGACGCAGGCTCTTCCGCAGCCCGCGTCGCTGAAGGCTGACGGCCCCTTTGCTTCCTTGACAAATCGGGCGTCCCGCAAGCGCCGTGAGGCCGTTTCCTGCAGTTACGGATCCCGTGGAAGCAGCTGGATACGGCAGGCTAGAAAACGCGACGGCAACTTCTTGCAGGAAGGTACGGGAAAGCACGTGAGGGATGACGGGAAAATCCCTCCAGAGAGCAACAAAGCTCTTCACTGGGGGCTTTTTGCCTGTACGTGCGACTCGAGCGGCGTCCGCCGGGGGCCAGGCAGCAGGGGACTTGCATCGCCTGAGTAGCTGTCTCGCAGGCGGCAATCCCACTCTACAGCCTTACCTTTTCTTCTACCTTTTGCTTCTTCCAGCTGCGTTGGGAGTCGTCGACAGAAGCGTTTTCGTCGCCGAGCGCTTGGTTGCATCTGGCCCTCCGTATTCCTGGGAGCTGTTTTGCTTGGCAGCCTGCCCCGGACGGACCCGGGAGGTTGGCCTTTCGGGTTACTTTTTCACCGCTGCAAAACGGGCATCGCTGCTCGCAGGCAGCGCCCGCGGACGTTCCCCACGCCGGGAACGCAGGCCGGGTCGTAAGGGTTTTATCTGCACCGGGTTTTCAGCAGGTGGGTGTTCAACCGAGAGAAGGCAGGCCGAAGAGTCGTACCCGGCTCCCAAAGCCGGGGCGGGAGGAACGTTTTTCCCAGCAGATTGCCCCTAAGCAAAGCTCACTCCGCGCTCTCAGCCTAGACCCCAAAACACCACTTGCTCCAACAGACGAGCTCCGTGAGCCACCCGCTGGCGCGCAAGACACCCGCGGCACCCCCACCGTGGCGGGTGCGGGCGGCTTTCTGCCCGCCTCCCACCGCACTAGCTTCACCCTTGGGTCTTAGTGCAGGATACAAGCTTTCCCGGCCCAAATATAGGCACCTTCTGCATCAAGATGGGGGGAGACATCTGTCCCTACCCGCTTTGTTGCCGGTGCGCTCCGTATCACCGAAAAATATCTGCCGCGTTGCTCGTTTTTAACCATCCTCCTGCTAAAATTAACCTTACTGGTGTGGAAATCCCTTTTTATTTTTTTGGCGCCTTAAAGCTAGCGCTTGAGCGTTTTCCATTGCTCTGGGGCCTCGTTCATCCTCCCGGCCAGCGGTTATCGTTCTGGCGTGACCCAGGGCTGGACGGACACCGGCGGAGGGGCAGGGAAAGCGCCCGGCGCTCGGGGCGCTGGGCTTGTGCATGCCTGGCTGTTATTTTTAGTTTTCCAAGCCCTGGCTCCACAAAAGCATCTTAATTACTATTCTTTAGCTACGAAATGAAACACAGATGCTCTCCTCTTGCGGAGGGCCAAGAGTTTCCTCGGGCTTTCTGGGGCAGTGGTACATCACAGAAATCAAAACATGGAAATTATTATTATTATTTTAAAAGAACGGTTATGTCAGAGCTATTTGCGGCGGCGGCAGGCCAGCACGTGCCTTCCCAGCAGCGCTCTCCTGGCGGCAGGTTTCTAACGGCGGGCTGGCCGCGGCCCCGGGAGAG